TCCTGAAAATTAATCATCGTAAAATATTTCTAAATTTAAAAATATTATTAAACAATATGCAATGCTCTGTTGTTTTGTAACTGTGTAACTGTTGTAATACAAACACAGATAGATTGATAAGTAGAGACAGACAGACAAACAGATCCAATACTGGACAACTTACCCAGAGAGAACACTAGCCTCAGCTTTATAGCATTCTTGCTCTGTTTGCTCATATATAGAGTATTGTAGGTGACATAAATATCCTAACATGGTTTTGAAAAAAAATTTAACAGCACAACCACAAAGTCTAAAGGTTGTTAAAGCAGAACCGTCACACATGATATTTCTGCACAATCCAACAACTAGGGCCTCACTTTAATATTTTTGGATACAGTTATACAATGATTTCATATTTTTAAAAATATTTTAGTATTTTTTGTACATTGAAATATTTGTATATATGATACATTTTTATATTTAATTACTAAAGGAACAAAAATATTTGAAAAAATTATCCAAAAAATATAAAATAATTTTAAAATCTTATGCAAAAATATCAAATCAAGGTCTAGGTTAGCTATGCGGTCTGCATTATTTATTTATTATTCTGTTTTTGCTTTTTAATTAACATTCTGATATTGTTTGTCTTGGCACAGCCAGGGCATACCATGTAAATTAACTTAACACTGCAGCACTCAAGAAGGAATACCCAAACATGCATGTGCTCAAATGATAATTGTTTGAAGTGGCTCAAATGTATCTGAGAGTGAGCAATAGGACATTTGGGTTGCTCCTACATCTCTCCTGTTCCATTGTTGCAAAGAGTGTTTGAGAGTCGAATGGTGTGACATTTGTTCTTATTGTGGCTTATTCAGATGTCAGTTGGAAGTTCTGCTAATCTGAGATATTTTATATATATATATATATATATATATATATATATATTGATAAGCCAAAATGTAAAAACATGTCTTCATTTGTAATATATAATTTGTAAGAAAACTTTATCCTAGTGTGTAACCACTTCAACCTTTTATATGACTAAAATATAATCATATTTGTATAATGATAGTGAAAGAGTTAAATGTGCAGCTTGCATATACTTTTACAAAGTCTGAAATGTGCCTCGATTAAATGCTACTGAATAGGCTTGAGTTGTGTGTGCTCATATATAACCTGGGGATGCTATTAAGTATTCTTGCCTCTTCAAGAAGTTATTGATGTGTTTCTTGGAAAAATTACCTTCTGTTCTCTCAAGCAATAAAAAAAGAGAACTCCACAAATGGGAGAGATTTTTTGTTGAAAGAACTTAATAGGAAGAGCACCTTTAACTCTATGGGGTCAGAGGGCTGATGCCGTAGTTACCTGCTTATGGATCACAGATTGAATACGCACACTTTGAAACCCCAGCAGTAAAACCTAATACCCATACTGATATTTACTTTATCAGACAGTCTGGATGAGATCTTAATGGGAGGAATTCTAAAATAAAAATAATAATAATAATAATAGTAATTATAATAATTTGCAGCACTGCACATGTATAATAATAACAATAATAATAATAATAATAATAATAATAATAATAATTAGTATTATAATTTGCAGCACTGAGGAATTCTAAAATAAAAATAATAATAATAATAATAGTAATTATAATAATTTGCAGCACTGCACATGGATATAAGTCTTCTCCAGGTGCAAATAGACAAAAAATATATTTGGCTCTAGCAATTCTTTTATTGTTTATTTTTATTTTAAGAAATTTTAGTTTAAAAATACAGATTTATATCCAAATAATACTGTTTTTTGTTTAATATTTTGTTTTTATTTATTTGTTGAAATTATTATATTAATTATTTCCCAGAATCCACATTTCACTAAGAGGTCATTTATTTTTTTAAAGGAGCTACACAGAGGAACTTTTTGTAATTTTATAGTAGCCCTACCTTATTCTACATAAATCGTTTCAGCATAACCCACTTCCCAGTGACCTGCATTCAATTATATTTTCAACTTGAACTTGCACTTGTGTTTAAGATAGAGAGTGATGAGAGTGTTCATCATCAAACTGTTCAACATACAACCATTCTTTGTATAACTGTTCATCATAACCTGTTCATCACAAGGGCATTTGATAATCATAGGGCTATTGATCATAGGGCTACCATGAACAAGCATTAATCATAGGACTATTCATCACAGGGCAACAGTGAACAATGGTTAATCGCAGGACTGTTCGTCATAATGATGACCATTGGTACAATTGATCACAGGACTATTTATCATAGGACTGTTATGAACAATAGTTAATCACAGTACTAGACACATCATAACACCTTAATGTCCAATTGCTCTTCGTAGGAATGCTTATCACACAACCTTTCCATCATTAAAACATTTAATAACAGGTATCATTTAGAACATAGGTGCTCATCATAGGTTTTACCTCAACAATTTTTCATCCTAGGACTGCTAATCGGAACCTGTTTATCTTTATGTAAGGATATTTGATCATGTGTTAAACAGTTATGATGAATAGCCTTAGGATAAAACATCTTAATATCCAGTATTAATTGCACTAAAAGACAACTTACAAACAAATCTGTTTCTTCTAATGAAATAAGCTGGAGGCGACATCCATTACATCATGATCTGTAAATTTGTGATTTCTATCACCGAAGATTGCATTTGTAATCAAAAAAGTATTATTATAATATGCTGAGTGACAGAAGATTACCAACAAATTACAAAGAAAAAACACATTTCCTTACAGTCTTTCTTGGTAATTAACATTCTATAAATATGTAACCGGTCTCACTGAATTGTATCCTTTATAAAGGCACAGGTGAGCTGACACTCATTTTGAACGGCACCATAGAACCATCCATTAAACATAGTTTCATTTTCAATAAGCCTACTTATACCCTTGTGTTTTTTCACTCAATGTATATCCTTTTTAATATTTTCTTTAAAAAAAAAATATGTTTAATTATATCTGAGGCATAGTTGTACATGTCAGGTGACTTAAGTGGGTGTATATTCAGCTAGCAAAAAAGGAACCTCAGTCCACAATTAATCTGTAAGGCACGATGGCTCTGTGCTTCTCTCTTCTCTGATAGTGATAATTTGTGTCTATATTACTAAGTAGGGTGCAATATAACTAGTAACAAATTGACAGATGGTGTTTGGTGGAAAAGAGTAGTATTTTAAGATTAAGGATTTGAGTCTGTGGACAGTTTAACTTAACTTTTCATCCTTTTGCTGGAATAATTTGTGTGTACGCTTCTCTTTTTCAAAAATCTAAAACAGCGATTCTTCTATGGTAAAGACCTAATGTATTACTTCATTGAACATTTCTTTAAAATTAATATAATAAATCCTATAATAAATATCATACAATGAAGTATAAAAAACACTCAAAATATTCTTATTGTTAGTAGGGTCTCCATTGCAATAAGTAAATCAGTACAGTAAAAAAATTATCTGGCACTTAGTAAATATGACAAGTGTGCTCCATCCATGATGAATAAGTCTGCAGGGGGCTTGCTTTAGATCTTACTTAGGCATCAATTTAATATTGTTAGTTAATGTTTAAATATATTTAATATTTTGGATAAAATTATGAAATGACACAATATTATAAAAATAATAATTTAGTAATATGTTTATAGTTTTTGAGATATTGTGTTTTTTTAATATATTATAGTTTTATTTTATATTTTTACAGTTTTAAATTTTTTGTAAATGTTACCAAAAATAATTAATATTTCTAATGCTTATCCAACAATATTAAATTGAGGCCTTAGCTTATTGACTCTTGGAGAATATATACATTTTTAATTTAATTAGTTAGTCTAGCCAGTCAATTTCTTGATATTGAAGGTTACTTATTGAGAAGACTTACTCTTTCTTTTACAATATTTTAGCCAAGCCATCGTCAAAATTTTAACTTAGAAACAACAAAATAGCTGAAGATACGATTATACTATAATATGTAGAAAGGCAAAGGTTTTTTTTATAAATATATATAACCTACATGTATTTCACTATTCAATTTTTAACCATTCTGTAAGTATAGAACTCTTAATTTTTTTTTTTTCAAAATACGATGATCTAATTTGAGGTTAATTCCAGAAAATGTATTACATAAACACTAATTGTTAAAAGAGATTTTTTTTTAGCAACATCATGCTCTAAAAATTAAACCTAGATACTGGCCACATGTGTATCAATAAAGTGTATGGCATCTTGCATTACTCTACTTTGGTGGTGGTGATTGTTTGCTCTGCTGGATGCAATGACATATATTTTTCACGATGCTCAGCAAGTAAGTTAGATGGCAAAATACCATAGCAGTCAGGCTGCAGAACATGGTACGAAGCAGAATTTACAAAGGTTCGCAATCACCGTTCAACAAGCCTGATGTCATACCTTTGCTTTCTTTCAACATGACACAAGACAACTCAAGGAATTTTTGTACATACCATATTAGTGTCTTTTAGAAGTAGCAATCCTTGGTCCAGTGGGATTTCATGTGACACATTGCATACAAGGGGTTAAATCAACACCATCAACTAGATGACAAATAAGCTTGTCCAAATTCAGAAAACCAACAATTTGCTTTTTATTTATAACCTTATTATAGTGTCTTAGGCTACAAATTCAGGCTGTTCTAGAGCAGTTGCAATGATAATTGTTTTATAGATTCTTATATGGTTTATTGTATGCTTTTCCACAGTAAGAATTTCTGCAATTTACAGAATTGTTCATTGCATGAAAAATAAAGATTTTTTTTTATTGTATTCTTTCTTTTTATTTTTATTTTTTTATAAATCTACTGGTAATACATTATTTCCTGTCAAATCAATCTATAATTCCTCATATAAGCCAGTCACAACTCTGTAATGGTCTGTAATGGTGGGGTATATTTGTAAAAGTTTAACACTATAAATATTTCAGTTATTTCACTGTTTTAAATACAGTTGTTTTCTTTAATACTTTGTGATTTTTATAGACAGATTGCAAACTGAATAACTTTTAAACTGCATGTCAAATTGTAATTTCACTCTTATTTACAATTATACGATTAATTTCATATTAAAATTTGATTAGCTAATTTTAAAGGCATAGCACAGATTGTAGGGGCCATTCTGGAATCTTCTAGGTAAGACCCCATATCATTTATGAAAATGAAGAACCATTCTGTGTTCTGGAGCCATCATTATATTTGCAAATCAAACTATGAAGTAGGTGAGATCTGATTTCTTACTTTCATCTGCAGATCTACATTTGTGGTCTTTAATGTTTTAGTGCTGTGTATGGTACGTGAATTGGAACTTTAAAGATTTTCAGCCTGATGCACTATCCCTCAATTAAACAAAACAAAAAACAATAGAGGGACAGGCAACCTTCGACACCCCAGATGTTGTGGATTACATCTACTGTGATGCTTAGCCAACATTGTGGCTGTAAGAGCATTATGGGAGATGAAGTCCAAAACATCTGGGGTGCCAAAGGTTGCCTACCCCTGCACTAGATCATAAAGTGCATTATGAGAGATCAGCACCACTGCATGCACCGATCTTTATTCCCTGTTGGTTGTACAATCACATCTTTGGAGGCAGCTCATGCTATAGAGGTTTTAATGATCTCAACCATGCCAAGTGGGAGATTGTGACAGCTAACACAATTGAACAGCACATGTAATGTGTTTGGATATTTAAAAATATACCCCACTATTTGAAAGGTTCCTTTATAGATCAATAATGCTTACACAAGTTGTTATGAAATAAAAAATTACATTTTCAACTAATTTGCCAAAAACTATCTAGCTTTCAGGATTTGACTTGAGAATTGAATGTGCTGCCAGTCTCTTAGAGTTTGTCTGACACCCACAATCTCTGCCCCTCCCTATAATACTTGATATAATATTCATTTTATTCATATTATAAACATACTTTAAAATGACTTTAGGAATCATCAAAATCTTTTAATTACTAATATTGAGATGAAAGCGGTCGTGTGGAGAAATTTAGAAAATATTGTTTTATTTAAAAACAACTTGTTGTTAAGCATTACTGTTCCTTCCTAAATGAAAATTATGAAATTATGGTGAATAGGATGGACTCCAAAGATTGGGCATTGAAAATAGCAAACAGTTTTTTGTTTTTTTTTAGAAAAATAACCTTAAAACCAGATCTCTTGGGGCACCCTATATTCCTGAAAAATATGATGAAAACAAAGCGTAGCAAATTTAAAGTAATAACAGGATTTCACTAGTTTTTAGATCACAATAGAATTTTTAATAAATAAATTTCTTTGTTTTTTTTATTATTTCATTTTTTTTTGTAAAGACACATTTTTATTGGAAACAGTAGATTTAGCCCAGTCAGTTTCATCCTTTTATAAATTGTCTGTTTTTGCTCATAATCCGGTGCACTGTAGACTATCAGATCTGCGTTTCTTGCACATTGTCTTTAGAGCTTGCTCGAATCAATAAAGGTTCATGCACAGAGCCGTGTATTGAATTTATTGTGTTCACTGTTGTTGTGTGATTAAAAGGGGACTTATAAGAGTTATAGTGGTTTAGATGCTCATGTTCAATAGCGGGCATGGGCAAGTGGCTCTCAATTGGAGTGTCAGCTGTGAGTTCATCATCCACATTTATAATCTCAACAGTCCGTGTAGGAGCATGATGGTTTTTCCGATGATGCTGCTTCCTCATTTTGTAGAAAATGACCAGCATTACAGCTGCCATGAGAGTGATGGCCACAAAACAGCCAATTATAATTTTGGTAGTCTTCATAACCTCATCTATCCCTGGCATTCCACCGTTTGCTTCTGTAATGGGTATAGTAAAGGTTTTCTCTGTAGACCTTGTGCTCTGTGGCATGATCGAAGTGGTTGCATTAGTGGTTTCCCATTCAATGACCGGCGTTGGTCCCACATTATGTTCTGTGGTCCTTGCCTCATCCTGAGATGGTTCCATAGTCTCTACAGTGACTGTGGAAAAGTATGTATAACCATTATCGCTGGCAGTCACATTCAGTGTTGCTGAGGCAGTGGTGTTCCCAGCGGAATTGCTCACTATACATGTGTACAAGCCCGTATCACGCACTGTTACATTTGTAAAGTTCAATGTGCCATCATTCAGCACTGAAATACGCACTTTGTAAGCCCCATGGGTCATAATGGATCCATTTGGAGTAATCCAGCTAACGTAAGTCAATGATGTTGATGCTCGACATTTGAGCTCAGCAGCCATTCCTTCTGTGACATTCAAATCAGCCGGTGGCTCCAAAATCACAGGTGCATAACATGTAAAATAATTCTGATCCAATTCTGCAATATGAGTTCCTTTCAAGCTGAGTGGAGTGCTACAACGAGCACAACATGTGCTGCCAGTGGTGACAATTTCTTTGAGCCACCAGCTAAGCCAAAGAATGTCACAATTGCAGTTCCAAGGATTATGGTGCAACTGAATCCTTTGCAAGTTATGAAGAGGTGTGAAAAGGTCATGAGGCAGCAAAGTTAGATTATTATGTGCCAGATTGAGTTCCACCAGTGATTGAAGGTCATCAAAGGCATTCCTTTCAATCACCTGAATTTGGGAATGCATAATCCACAGTTTTTGCAGATGGGTTAATCCTTGGAATGATCCTGGCCTGAGAACAGACAAGTGATTTCCAGAAAGGTCTAACTCATCTAGTTTTACAAGAGGGGTAAGGTTGGGAATTTCTCTTAGGTTGCACATCCCAAGGTTTAAATACTTTAAATTTGACAAGCCTTCAAATGCTCCTTCGGAAATATATGATAAGCGTTTCATCTCTCCCAAATCCAGTCTGCGAAGTGAAGGGATCCGATTAAAAGCATAGGATGGGATACTCTCAATGGGATTGTTTCTCAGCCAAAGCTCCTTCAGTTTTGACAAGTATTCAAAAGCTCCATTTGGGATGGTAGTCAGACGATTGTCAAAAAGTTCCAATGTATTCAAGTTTGCCAAGCCATTGAAGGCCCCAATTTCAATCGTCCTAATATGGTTTCTACTCAACTGTAAAACTTCTAAGTGCCGTAAGTGTTTAAAGCTGTCCACTTTAATTATCTGGATCTGATTTTCATGGAGATTTAACTGTCTTGTGTTAGTGGATATACCATCTGGGACCTCTCGTAGGTTCCTCCTTGTGCAAATGACCTTGCTGAATTGGTTACTACAGGAACATACAGAAGGACAGGTCTGAGCTCTTACTAAGCCAGCCACCACAAGAAGTTTAAGAGCCAGAAGCACAATAAAAAGGGGGTCAAATAGGGCCCTGTTGAACCTAGGACCTATCATTATCTGCTGTGGGTGTAATATCATCTTGTTCAACATTCATAATTTGTTTGTGTTTGGTCCTTCAGGATTTCCAGTAGTCTGAAATAAAAAAAAAAAAAAAATAATATATTAGACAACTTAAAAACAAAAATAATAATGTAAAAATGCTTAAAGATTTCTGAATTTAGTTTATTTTAAAATGTTGCTAAATGTTTCTAAGTAGTACATAAATGGTGAGAAAATTACACAACACAGAGCTAAACTAATAAACTGATATTAAGGTGAATTGACAAAGTGCAAAATGTAGGTCAAAATAGATAAAGTTAAACATAGCAAGTTTTACAATTGTTTTTTGGTACTGTTGTTTAAACAATAATGTTAAAGCTTGGTTGTTATTTCCAATTCCCCAGGTTTCATTGTTTATGGATAATTCCCAATTTAGAGATATCAATAAATTAGTGTCAAGCACTTTTAAAAACTTAAACAAAAATAGGGTTAGAAGAACAGGTAATTTTCAGAATATTTTCACCACAATAATTGTGGCCTAATTGTTTTGAATTCCTGGTCATATCAACATAAACCCACCATCTTTTTAATCTTCTGCTTGTACTATGGCAGCAGACAACAACACTGACACATATGAAAAATGTGCAATAATTAATAAACATATATAAAAACAAATTTAAAAATGTTAGTCTATTTCATGGATAAAGATTTAGCGTTCTGTTCTACTGGTTCTGTCGCTAATTTATTTAAATGCAACTGAATGTTATTATTATGGAAATGGATTATGGAATCCAATTCCCATCAAATTAAAAATGCATCCTTAAATTCACACACTCTTCAAAAAACAAATACATATCATCTTCTATACTATACAGTGATCACAACATCCTAAAACCATCCCAAAAAAATAAACTAGTCTTGTTGCCCAAAAGAATGTTTCTTCTTATTCACTAAACAAATGTAGTGATTTAGCATCCAACTTTTATTTCATGCCTAAATGGTCCACTCTATTACAACAGGAGCACCAACATAATTATACGAGTTATATTCAGATATTATATAGCTTGCAATGTCCTCTAAAAGGGCGTTTTGCCACCAGCTACCATACTCTTGGAGTCAATATTGGTAATTTTTAAGAAGGGGCAGGAGAACAGCTAAAGTGTTTTCATATGAGCAGAAACACCAGAGAAAAGTATTACTCAATGTCTGCATGTTTAATAATAAATTTTTTCTGATGTTCTCAGAAATAAGATACAATGAAAAAAAAACTAAGATGTAGAACAGAAGCTCAGCATATAAAACTCTTACAACTGATTTGTTACTGTTGGCAAGTATGCACTAGCCACACTGCGTTATTCTCTAAGACAAAAAAAAAAAATTCCTTCTTCAACTCAAGTTTTAAATTATTACAATGTATACATTCACACTTGGAACATAAGACATGCTAGCTGCAGTGCATACTGTTCAAACTGCTCACATAGGTGTGTTTCCAATTCATGTACTTGACACTGACTAAACTATCACAATGATCTTTGGAACAGTACCTAAATTACACAAATTACACAATTCCCATCTATCCATCAAAACAAATTAAAATATCACACTGACCGCCGTCCACTCCTTTAAATACTTGGGAATGTTGTTAGACCCCAATCTATCTTTTGGCCTCCACATAGAAAAACTTGCTTCTAAACTTAATCCAAAACTAGGTGCCCTGTACAGAAACAAATCCTGCCTAAGCCCTACAGTAAGGGAAAAGATTGTACAGCAAATGCTGATGTCAATCATGATTATGAGGATGTAGTATATGCATCTGCACTGCAATCCCACATTAATAAACTCATACATTGTATAACGCGTTCTGGCAGTTTGTGCTACAATGTAATTACAGGACCCACCATTGTGACATGCTGATATAACTAAACTGGCTGTCGCTGGAATCCAGACGCACCCTTCATCTTTCCACCCTTGTGTTTAAGAGCTTTTCTGGGAAACTTCCACCCTATCTGAGCAAAATTCTGTTCCCACCTCCTATGACCTCCGATCCAGTACCAGCACTTTATTTAGTCTACCTCAATACAAAAAGAAAGCAGCCCGATCCTCCTTCTCCTGCAGAGTGCCGCAATTGTGGAACGCCCTCCAGCACACTTTAAAATCTTCCCCAAGCCTAAATTACTTTAAGAGATCCCTCTGTACATACCTCAAAACAGAATGCACGTGTCATGGTTGATTATATATTTCCTACCTGTTCTATGTTAAATTTTGTATAAATTGTGCATTAATATTGTTTTTGTATTTTATTGTACCTTAATGTATCAATGCAATGTTTTGTGGACCCAGGACATACTTGAAAATGAGAGAAATCTCAATGTATCCTTCCTGGTAAAATATTTTATAAATAAATAAATAATAATGTACTTCTCAGTGACTGAGAATCTCGGTCCATTTCTAATGGACAATAATTGTATGTGGTGGGGTGCTGTACTTACTCTAAGGGCCTGGTCAAGGCTCCAAGTACAGGCCTCAATTAAATATTTTTACATAAGCTTTTCAAACTATTACTATTTTTAGGTAAACAAACTTCTTTTTTTTAAATATTGAAATATCATAAAAATATATCAAATACAAAAAATACATAAATATATCAACAAATATAATATATTAAAACAGTAAAATATGTTTCCATAATATTAAATCATTTTAAAAGTGTATTCAAAAAGCTTATCCAATAATAATAACATAAGGCCAATATTAGAAAAAAATAAAAATATAAATATATTCTATGAAACCCTTAATATTTTTTAATATATTTTAATATTACAATTTGCAAAAAATGATTTTATCTGTGCATCAAAGAAACCCCTAAAATATGACCTACAGAGAAAGTAGGCAGACAACCAGGGCCGGCGCCACCGTTAGGCGAACTAGGCATTCCCCTAGTGCGCCGGCCTGCTGGGGGCACCCACCAGGATATTTCCTGGTGGGCTCCCCTTGTCATGGGCCACAGCGCTGGGCGAGCGGCTCTAGAGCCAACCTCCCCCCCCCCTCAGCGTTGGGCCGCTCCTCCAGGTGCCCAAAGGTGGAATATGATGCAATACCGGCCCTGGCATACTAAACAGCAGGCGGGAGGAGTATGTTTGTCAGGGAATGTCTGTCAGTGAGTGAGTGTCTATGTGTGTGTATCAGTGAGTGAGTGTATGTCTGTCTGTCAGTGAGTGTCTCTGTGTGTCTGTCGGTCAGTGTGTGTTTGTCTCTCAGTGAGTGTCTGTGTGTGTGTCTGTCTGTCAGTGAGTGCCTGTGTGTGTGTGTGTGTGTCTGTCAGTGAGTGAGTGTAGGTCTGTCAGTGAGTGTCTGTGTGTGAGTGTATGTCTGTCAGTGTCTCTGTGTGTGTCTGTCAGTGAGTATGTGTGTCAGTGAGTAACTGTGTGTCTGTGTGAGTGTATATGTGTGTGTATATGTGTGTCAGTGAGTGTGTGTATGTGTGTCAGCGTGTGTCAGCGTGTGTGTGTCTGTCAGTGAGTTTCTGTGTGTGTGTGTCAGTGAGTGAGTGTATGTGTGTGAGCGTGTGTGTGTCTGTCAGTGAGTGCGTGACATGAAGGGGCGGCAAAATTGATCTTTTTCCAGAGGCGGCAGAAATCCCTGCACCGGCCCTGCAGACAACAGAAGGGTAAATGTAAAGGAAGACTTTCCCTCTGGTAGAAATATATTGTACTCGAAGGCCTTGGAACTAGCTCTTGTACAACGAGATTCTATACCAGGGACCTCAAATCCTAACTCCCCTCAATGTTAATGGCCTACAACTCTCACAATTCTTTGAGTGAAATAAATGGCCAGAAAACCATGAATGTTGTAGTTCAGCAGCATCTGGTGGGGGCAGAGTTTATCATGCTAGTAATAAGGGTAAAACCAAAGATTCTTTACTACGTTAATCATTGCTAAGTTTTAGCCCTTGATAGAGAGTGACATATAGAGCTCTTTGAATAAACAAGTTTGCTCAAAGTATTCAAAGCTCTGGGTATTATTATCTGTGTATTATTCTGTCCTTGGCAACTTTAAATTCAGAAATTCTATGTCTGGCACGTAGTTCACAACACCTCTAAAAAAACGCTGCTTTATAAATACTAATACTGCTAAAAGGCTGTTGGCCTTTATTCAACTAATAGCCTCTAATATGTTACAATTTCAGTGCAAGGGAGCCAGCATAAAAATGTACACATCATTTCATATTATTATAATCTCTTTCCCACTTGCTTATGGATTTTAAATTGGTATTTATGACAAAGAACAAGTCTTTCAATGCTGTCAGGTACAAGTATTGTAATCGTGGTGTTGTGCTACAGAGCATTAATTTTGGTAGAAAAAAAAATAAAAATAAATAAAATAATGCCATTTTTTAAAATGTTTATTATTCAAAATAACGTACGAGTGTATGATTACCATCAATATTTGTACACTGTGAGGTTGTCTCAGGTTACAGTCCATCCTTTTTGGCTTATTATAAATTTTCAGCCTAGTTAATATTTTATGATACTCATAAATTAATTGTGCTTGTAATGATTTTATGACTATGAATAATATGTTAGCAGTTTTATGTTGTATTGCCCGTACCTGTCTATTTTTATTAAAGTGATAGTAAATATTCTTTTATAAATAAAATGTTTAAGGATTTAGATACTCTGGGTTACCTTCATCAATTTTAAAAATCAAGTCTGAAACAGCAGAATTGGACAAAAATCTAAATTCTTTACATTTCTGGTAGTTATCCTAGATATCATTTACCTTTGTGAAATAATGCAGACCACTAGTAATGATTTAGTCCTAAAAGGGCAAACCCACTGTGGAATCCATAAAGACACCTGTTTGGACACTCCAGGGGTGTCCTGGTGCTTAACCCCTAAGTTGTCGACAGAAAGGAGAGTTCGGATCACTGGATATGCAAATCCAGTGATTAGAGCATGTACTGGAGCTATAATGATAAATGTAAAAAATAGATAGTAATAATTAGAATACAAAAATGTATATACACCAAATCCTCTTCCCAGAATATAAGGTCATCCCAATGTGAAAATAGTGTCGCCAGCCATTAGGCTAAACCTCCCCAATACTAAACCGTGACTACGATACACCTCAGACTCCTGACTTTAACATAACTTGTTTGGTCACAGTCTGTGTATAATAACAAATAAATATCATTGACTCCATTGATATTTATTTGTTATTACCGTGACTCCATTGATATTTATTTGTTATTATACACAGACTGTGACCAATCAAGTTATATTAAAGTCAGGAGTCTGAGGTGTACTATCTATTTTTTACATTTATCATTATAGCTCCAGTACATGCTTTCTATCATTTACCTTTCTCCTGAAGATAGATCTATCTATCTATCTATTTATCTCAGACATCCCAAGTCTCCCTGACACCCTTATGTCTCACACAACATCCCGGAAGTCACACACAATCTGACATACTATATATCAGATTGTGTGTGAGTGATTTCCAGGATTTTATACATGCTAAATGCTCTTAAATTAAGGGGCTAAGTCGGTCTAGTTAGCCTACAGATCCATTGCCTTTGGCCTGAAGATAGATCGATATCGATCTATCTATCTAACATAGAGAGAGAGAAAAATTAAATGCTATCTGTGTATCCACAATTCATCTCAAGGAAAACCTTAGAAAACATAAGCTCTGAAAAAGTTGTGCATTCTGCCATACATATATCAATGTTAAATACTAAGATGAAGTACTGTATGAAGTTTACATTATGGAAGAAAAACATTTCATTTGAATGAACCCGTTGATTTTATTTGCATACATATCAAAAATGTTTTCGTTCACACATTATGTTGAACAATATATTCCTTTATTGTAGAGTGGCTGTGATGGGGTTGATGTGGTTCCAAATAGTGTCATGTTATATTATCCCTGTACTGTTCTAATACAATTTTCACATCAATGCATTTTTGATATAACTCAGTATCACCGTATCTATAAGTCTTATGCTTAGAACACTATTAGAAGCTTTCTATTCACTTGGTACCTTGGTAAAAAAAATTCTCAATCAACCTTGCTAGTTACATCTGTCCCTGTTTCTTTGCTTTGCAAAGCTACTTCAGATGAACTCTGCCTCACGCTAACTTTTTATGACCCTACTGTTCAGTAGGAATCATGCTGGTTATTTTAAATCTGACTATTCTACTTTGCTAAAAAAATGTATACCGTTTTTTAAAAATTTGATGACACAATTTCTCTAGGCATTTCACATTTTAATTCAGTATTATTGTTACTGTTGTTTGTCTCTAGACATTTCATGTTTTACATCAGTATTGTTGTTAATGTAATTTTGTCTTTAGACATTTTACATTTTTTTCAGTATTATTGTTACTGTAGTCTTGTCTCTAGACAGTTTACATTTTACATCAATATTGATGTTAATGTAGTTTTGTCTCTAGACATTTTACAATTTACTTCAGTATTGTTGTTACTGTAGTTTTGTCTCTAGACATTTCACATTTTACTTCAGCATTGTTGTTATTTTAGTTTTGTCTCTAGACATTTCACATTTTACTTAAGCATTGTTGTTACTTTAGTTTTGTCTTTAGACATTTCACATTTTACTTCAGTATTGTTGTTACTTTAGTTTTGTCTCTAGATATTTCACATTCTAATACAGTATTGTTACTGTAGTTTTGTCTCTATACATTTTGCATTTTTCTTCAGTATTGTTGTTACTGTACTTATGTCTCTAGATATTTCACATTTTACTTCACCATTGTTGTTACAGTAGTTTTGTCTCTAGATATTTCACATTCTACTACAGTATTGTTACTGTAGTTTTGTCTCTAGACATTTTAAATTTTTCTTTAGTATTGTTGTTACTTTAGTTTTGTCTCTAGACATTTTACATTTTACTCCAGTATTGTTTTTAGTGAGGTGCATCTTTAGATTAGGTGCTCCCCTAAACACTATTTTGGGTCTTTCTGGAATTAAATCTTTCAAAATAAAGACTCAAAATAGTGTTTAAGGGAGAACCTAATCTAAAGCTGCACCTCACTAAAAACTACACTAAGGTTGAGAACAAAACCATAGGTAATACTTTTATGAATGGGACAAAAGGTTTTTACAAATGCAATACATGCGCCGCATGTAAAAAGACTAAACTCACGTCCAAATTAAATATCTAATTTCAAATCCAATAACACTGGCAAAACATACAATATAAAAGAGATAATTACAGTAATAGCAAGAACGTGATATATCTGTTGGAATGCCCATGCGGTCTCCAATATATTGGACGCACTATTAGACCCCTAAAAGTACGAGTGGCTGAGCATTGTAGAAATATAGAAAAGGGTTATAAAAACCACTCTGTCTCGTCTCATTTTTGTACTCACAATAATGATCCTGGAAGTCTCACTTTTATGGGGATATCTACCGTGAAGAATCAATGGAGGGGAGGCGATCACATTAAAAAAATAGGACGCACAGAGATGGAATGGGTGTACTATATGAATACTTTACATCCTAATGGGCTGAACATTGAAGTTGATTTGTTCAACTTTTTATATGAAGTTTTTTACTAATTAATTGTTTTTTTTAATGAAGATTATTTTATAATACTATATTTTTATATATATTTTTTTTTTTTGGAGAAAGTAATTTATCTTTCTCTTTTTTAAAACTGACCCTCATTCCATCTCTGACCCATCTATCATTTGGATAATTATACCACCTATTATATATTTTATAAACCTTATATGCATATTATTTTACTTGTTATACTTTTGTAAAAACATATCCTTCTTTCTATAATGCTTCACCACAGTTCTGTAATTATATATTCTATAAATGCTATATATATATTTTTATCTGCTATATCTTTGGAAAAATTTAGTCTTTTTTCAATAATGCCCTACTATATAGTTGTAATTTTTATTATTTTATTATATTAACCTTTATAACTTATTGAAAATATTTAAAATAAATGCTATGCATTTAAAAGATTATACCAATATATAATGATTAGTACTGATTTATCCTTTTCTACACTCTGCCCATATTTTTGGCCTTCACCAATATGGCCGAATTTACCGCCGGCCGAATATGAGGACTCAGTGACGTCACCTTATGCGGACGGACAAGCGCTCCCTAGGAAATTTGGAGGAAGACTATTGGTGAAATACAACTTTTATTTATTTGTGTTGCCGCTATTGTTTAATTATTTTATATTGTTGGGAAAGATATGTATTGATGCGACTTAACGCACACGATGCCATATTGGGGCCGTGATGCGTTCCATGCTGGAATACAAAGTTCCATGGTGGCAACGATCACATGTGGATACGCCGCGTCACTTCCGGTGCGCCGCGTGCGTTCCATGGTAACAACAGAGGACCGAACACACCAGGAAGCCATTGACTTATAAGTAAGTTACCTATATAAAGGACATTTTAAAGACATTTTTTACACTTTTGAAGAAGCCTGATCGGCGAAACGCGTTAAGTGTTACTTTTTATAGCCATTTGTTTTTATATATTGTCATTAAATAGTATTTTAAAGCGATACACCTACTTACTTGGAATTTATTATTCTACTTCCTGGTCTACATATCCTTTAGTGAGGATTATACCAATTAAGCCAAATATACTAGAGCAAGTTTCTGCTCTAGTAAATGTGAGTACCACATTTTTCATTATTTTTTTCTCTTAATTGGGATTATAACATACTGCACTATTGGAGTTTCTTTTTATGTCTTTCACATTGCCGTACCACTGGAGTATTGGAGATATCTGCTTCTACATATATCCTTAGACGGGGATTGTTCCGCCCATGCGAATTACGGTAGAACTCCTGGCTAGCTCTACCAAATGTGAGTGTAAATTATCTTAATTTACTCAAATACCTCTCCGAGTTTTTTAACTATACTGCACCATTGTGTTTTCTCTCTGTTTTTATTTTTGAGGATATATGAAAATTGTTCAAAGAAAAATACTCTGAATGTACGTATATTTGATTTAGGGCGCGGATCCTTTCTCTCTTTTTGGTCGAACTGTTTGTTTACAAGGTTGGGAATCCTTGTATTGGTTACTGCTGCCCACTAACTTCTTTCTCTTTATTGGAGTGAGCACCTACCATACTCTTTTCTATAGAGAGCTGTTTGTATTTACCTTTTGGTTTGTAGCATCTGTTTTCGTCATGGACGAGTAATGCCAAATACATTTACATTTTATTAATAAATGGTAAAAATTATAGTAAAATAATACTGTAGTTCTAAACTACTGTATGTGATGCACATACTATTAAAAATTAGATATTTAGATGTTTTCCCACCAGCTTAAATGATCACACTGGAAAAATAGCGTATTTTGTTACCTAGCCACATGCATCTTCTGCTGAAGGAGATTCTTGTTGATATCTAAAATATTGCATTGACTATCTGTTTAACCCCTTAAGGACACATGACATGTGTGGCATGTCATGATTCCCTTTTATTCCAGAAGTTTGGTCCTTAAGGGGTTAAAATGGGCTTTTAGAGTTTGGAAATTCAAAAATCTTTGACTGTTCATTCATTTGTGCCTCATTCTAACCCAAAGCCCTGGGTTCATTTCCAATATGTTGCTCACTGTAAGGTCCCTTTGCTGTAAAGATTAATGAAATTTCCTATAAATCAGCCATAAGTGAAGTCTTATAAATTACACCAAGCTCAAAGCACATTCATAACCTGGAGCAGAGAAATGCATAATGCATGATTTCGCTATAACAAAAAATGTATCCGCAAAGGTTCCTCAACTTAAGCAAAACAAGGTTTCATTTTACAGAAAAAAAAGTCTTGTTACAAAAAAAGAAAATCTATTATTTAGTGCATCGCTGTAGCTCTTAGCATTGGCACAAAAGCAGCATGTTCACAAAGTCTTCTGTTTTATTGCAGAGAGAGATATAATGACTTCCTTAGATAATCAAATCTTATTTTGACATACACCATAGCAATAATTAGAGTTTGGTTTTAATAGGAGCCTCGTGACACACCTGTTTTTTAAACTGGAAATCAATCTTTGAAATTTGTACAAATCATTTCAACAAAGTAGCTACTGATTGCTGCATGATCCCCTTATAATATCATTAACATCGTCCATACGGCCCCCAAACTTATACATATGGTCTCTGCACATGATATTACCTTGATTGTCTTAATGGAACACTCTAACGTTAAATGGAAATGTTTTATTTTTAACATTGAATTTTATTTTTTGTTTCTTGAGAATCGCACCCCCCTCATTTATATAAGGTAATTAAACTTTTTTTTTTTTTAAAGTCATCATAAAACTTTAAACCTTTATTTCAGCAAAATGTCTGTGTTCTTGGGTCAGCATCTCCACCACTAATGAAATCATCATCCTTGACTTCTGTCCAACCCATTGCTGGTCACAGAGGAGTATTGTGGATGTATGGTGCATGCATGGAAATCACCTCCCTCCACCAATGTGCTGATTTCCAAAAAAAAAGCACTCAAAGACTCAAGTATTTTTTCTATGAATAATATTAAGTGTTCAGTGTCATCTTGATATGTGATGACACTGAATGTAAAGAAGGAGATGCCTTTGATGGCTATTAGCTTGACAGTCACGAGAGGTGTGTTCTCTTACAAATGTAAACAATGTTGTTTAGGAGTTCATTTGTAAGAGAAAATGGGCAGCATTTATGATTAAGATGTAGTGATCTTGGTGCTTTGAGTATCTCTTTGACATTCATCGTTTCTTGTACAATAGACTGCCAAATATATAATTTACTGATATCTCACAAAGATCCTGATAAATGGGCTATTTTATACCTAACAATCTAACAAACAGTAATGCAGAATGTATAATTGTTAGAAATGCAAAGACCAATGTGTTCAAGTTTAGTATAGATAATTACAAGGGGCTTGATGAGATTTCCATTAGATACTTTGTAGCCAAACTTTTATAGCAGCTTGTAAAGGTTCCTTCTGAGAAAGATAGACATATAGAAAATAATATGCTAAAGCTAATATTTGGGATTACTATTTTATTATTAGCTATAAGGCTAAAGCCAAGCTTAGTTCATAACTAAGACATAGATGATAAGGAGACTATAATGATGTGGCCCATCTATCACTACTGCATGACACTTCGTAGTTAAAATGGAATAAGGGAGAGCCATTCTCATATGGTGACATATATTCGTGCCTTCAGTTACTTATATTTAAAAGTGATATGGAAAGGTTTAGACTGTACAGTTTGGTTCACCAATAAAAAGCTATTTCCATGGCACACATTAAGCAAAGTCTGTACATTTGTACTAATCATCTTTTGGTGCATATTTTAAAGGGACACAATAATCACCCTGACTACTTCATCTCAACAAATAACAAGTGATCTAGGTGCAAAATGCTCCTGTCATATTAACCCTACTTTGTAAAACATTGCAGTCTAGTTAAATCCACCTGTAGTGGGTGTCATACTAAGAATAAAAAGAGAGAGAAGAGAAGAAAAGATGAGAGGAGAAGAGAATAAAACAATGTTTCTATTTTTCCCCTTCATTTGCAATATGTGCCATGGAATTGTCTCGAATTAGTTAGATTATGACTAATAACTAATTAATAAATGTAAAAGAAAACAAAGTAACTCATGAAAAAAAAAGATTAACACAAGTTATAGGTGTTTGCTCATGGTTTTCAATTGTATAAATTCTAGAGAAATACAATTTCCAGTTTAACCCCATTAAGGACACATGACATGTGTGACATGTCATGATTCCCTTTTATTCCAGAAGTTTGGTCCTTAAGGGGTTAAATAGACTTCCACCACCTGCTTCATACCGTATAAAGGAAGTGGAGATTGAATCTAACTCCTGATTTAGCAGGACTCAACATACTCTCATTTGGTTTAGGAGACCTTCTGTAAGCTCATACAATCGCTGATGTTATTTATTAGATTCAAACTTCAAGGGATATTGAACTGAAATCTTCCAAATCCACTCTAGAATTTTTGTTGCTTCACAAATTCTGGCCAATTCATATAAAAT